GTTCGAGGAGAACCTCGATAGTGGTCCTGTCATGTACCCTGTTCAGTGCTCGGGAGCCACCGCAAGGCTTTCGACCTACATCAAGCCAATGACACCACTCTTGTCATCGGTGCTTCCGCGACCCCATATGTTTGCACCTGCAGTTTCGTGAAGCGATGATACAAGAGAACGCAACAAAACGGACCATCGAAGTGGCCGGAATACGGAGGATGAGTCCATTGCTCGAAAGTGGACGGCGGTACGGGAACAACATCTGAGAAGCAACGTGAGCGATTGACCGTGGAGACTGGGCGACGGTCGTATACCGTAGTGTCCCATAAGCAAAATAGGTTTGAGAGTACGGTCCGATCCTGGCCAGATATAAGAAAGGCCGTATGTATTGATTGTCGTGACTTCCAGTGTAGCGTGTCTGCAACGTCATTTACGCCTGGGGCACCACGGTGAGAACAAGTTCTATACGTACATGAGCGGGAATGCGGTCTTGAGATGCTCTACAAAGGGTCGTCGGGACTCCCAACGCGAGTCCTCCCCCACAAGACCCATGGCATCGAATGTCTCGGTGGGAATCTGCACCGCGGCACTCAACTGACCTACCGCGCGCTCGAGAAAGACATTTGTCGCATACAGAGCCGTCAGCTGCGTCCAAAATGCGGCGCTCTTCTGAGGAAACAGCGGGGGCGCTTGCGGACACATCTTGTCGCCTGCAGCTACAGCCACAGTTAGATGTGATGACTTGACATGCGAGAAAAGTCTCGGGGCCAGCGAGGTGAGGCACAGGGAAAGAGCCAGGGCAACAAATAAAGCAATTCGCCATCTTTCGTGTTGTACGAGGTCTTTGAGTGTCTGGAAGCCCAGTCTTCGTTGCGGTCATGGCTGTGGGAAGAGAAAAGCGGAGACCTTCCGTAATCTTGTTGCGGAACAGTTGATAGCTTGATCGGCTGATATGATGCCGAAAAGAAGAGGGAGGAACTATCTTGTATTGTATTGCTCTTGTACTTGCTCTGACAGAGGCAAACTCAGGTCAACGCAGCAGATACCATTTTTCTGACTCGAGATGGTTCCAAGAGCTTATCAAAGTTACACTGTACAGCCAATTGCAGTTCCGAAGGTGCGAACAATGACTGTAAGGCGTCAAGTCAGTGAGAGGGCCAATGTGGTCTGCTACAAGCTTAAGAAGGTCAAGAAATATGTGAGCTAGCACAGTTAAACTTGAACGCTCACGGCGCCTCCATATCGCATCAGCATGACAATTTCTCCATGCATGAATTCCGCGCACCTCGAGGTCGAGGGATCATATATCTAATAATCTATAACTTCTTCGCCTTCGATACACACAACGCGGCGAGTCGGGATACTCGGTAGGATTGCAGGCAGTAGAGCCTCAAACCGCTCTAGTACGCTCCGTGCAGAAATCTTGTAAGCGTCCAGGCAAGACGCGGGGCCATCGAGAATGAACTGTATCTCGCGGACGGTCGCGGATGGAGGTATGTCTAATACGAGCTGCGCAAATTGAGACAGTGGCATCCATCGGGGCGGAAACCCGATGTCATTCGTATGCACGTTCAGGATCAGGGTCTCTAGGCGACAATGGGGAGTAACACCGGCCAACAGGCCCTCGAGTTGCGGTGGAACAAGCATGATCGTGCGATGGAAGTGGATCGCGGACCCGATTCTAAGGTGCCGCAGGCCCGAGCTTTGCGAGAAGTCGAATCCAGCTGCAGACCCTGCGAAATGAAATTGAGTTGGTTCGACAAATAGGAGTCAAAGGCTAACCGATATGGTCAACGAACTCGCAGTTGAGATGCAGATATTGGAGGTGAACTCCCAAGTGATGCAGATACTTGGAGATGCTTTGCAGATATTTCGGAGGTAGCAAAGACTCCGCCCAGAAAGACAAGGCGAGTTTCGAAGTACGGAGAGATGATGGGTTCGATCGGGAGTCGCAGTCCCCAGTGTAAGTTCACTGACTTCAAATCGAGGAACGGAAAGGGCACAACCAATGGAGGAGATCGAGGACAATCCTTCCAGAAGAAACCATCCAATCGTAAGCTTTGCAAAGCGGGGAGGTCGGACAGGAAGCGGACGTAGCCAGCATATGTTCCAAATTCTCCGTTCAAACGCAACTCTGTGAGCTGTGGAATAGAGGGAAGATCGTCTGAGAATTTGCAAGACATATCGAGGGAGCGCATCCGTGTGAATCGGGGTAGTAGCTGAAGGAGCGGCAGGTGGACACCGTGATCATGGTCCCCCATCGAAATGTGTAGCTGCCGGATGGTGGAGAACAGCGTGGCCCGCGGAGAGTGCAGGAGTTGGATGAATACAGCGATATTCTGTGCGGTAAGAGAAATAGGGACGTGGCTTCTCGCGAAGGCGAGCCATTCAGAACAGACGAGACTGCAGGAGAAAAGATTCGGCTGACTGTCGCGCAATTCCTCCACAACGAGCTCGGCTAGTTCAGACGGAAAACGTGGCGAAGTGATCTTGCTGCGGCTGCAGCATGAGAGCGCCATAGTATCAGGAAGAAATGGCGCGCGCAGATGGTGGAAGGGAGCAAGCCTTTGCAGGCCCCGGGAAGCTCCACCAAGGGGTTGTCCGGAAATTTGGGTTTTTGTGGCCCGAAAATGGCCAAATCCTTGTCCGGATGTTGGGTTTTCGAGGCCAAAATCTTCCGAACCTTGTCCGGTTTCTTGGGTTTTTGAGAGCCAAGGTTGGCCGGGACTGTCGGCCGAAAATTTTGGCAACAGATCTGACATGCTGCAACAGCGGATCCTTGTGCCGAACTTTCTGCAGCGTTTGGAGGCAGAAAAGAGGTGAATCAGTTGGGAATCAGGGTGAATTTAGCGCTTCAGCGAAATTTACTGGATGGTGTCACAGATTTTGGCGCGGTCACAGTCGTCGTGACATGTCACTACCCTTGTCCGCCTTTGGGTTTTTGAGGCTCCAAACTGTGGGTTTTTGAGGCCAAAATCCAGAAACTTTCCGGACAACCCTTTGGTGGAGCTTCCCGGGGCCTGCCTTTGCAAAGGCTCAATAACAAGGCACAACAATCGGCAACTCACGGCCCGTCGCTTGCTGTCAACTCGGATTTTAATCAGTCTTGGTCCAACTATCCAGTGCCTGGTTCAGATAGAGCCCAGGTCTCCAGTACCTAGGTGATAGTAATATTTGAGGCAAAACTTCGAAAAAGAGGCTGGAGCGAACGATGGGAGCTGTCTCCTCATCTTCTCCTATATAGTAACATAGTTTGTCGCTTAGTCTCTTATAAACAGACGCTACAACAAAAATGAGCTCGTACCTCGCTTGTTGTAGTCTGTCGTTTTGCCGAGCGGCTTGATCGGAGGTTGGCTGCGTTATGTAAACAAAATTTGGTCGCGTCTCGAACTTGTGTCCGCGACGCGTCCTTCCCCTCTTTGTGGCCGGAATTATATCTAACTTCCCTATTGGTCCCACTTGTCCAGCAGAGTTTGAGGCGCAACAGGTCGGAATCTAGATGCCGAAACTTGATGAGTCGGCTGTCGCCGACGCGTCGGCTTCGTTCCTTGCCTAAAACACCCCGGTGCAGAAGAATCTGAGGAGGCAGAACCATTTGGACGGGGTATTTGGCCACATCTGTCTCTTGGAGTTTAGTGTCATGGTGCTCTGAGGGCGGGAACAAAGGAAAGGAAAATCAAAAGGTGAGCACAGCCACGATGTTTACATAACGATGTCGACCTCCAACCATCAGTGGCGCGGTTAACTTCAGACTATTTGTCGCTGGGGCCCGGGGAGCTCCTGCAAAGGTTGGTCCCAGATTCAACCTCAAAAAGCCACTCGATTTCGTCAGTTCCAGCCTCGAAAAGCCACTTTGGGACGGGGGTAGCCGGTGTCGTACAATTTTTCCCCCGCGCAGCGCGGCTATCGGAGCGGCTTTTGGGAGGCCCCCGACGACCTGAAACATCCCTGCGGTCGCTGCTCATCCAGTCTCGTCGCGTTGTTAAACATACGGGAGAAGTAACTGGAGCGCACGGCGTTCAAGGCGTTTCGAGGTCAAAATGTTTATGTGGCTTGGGACCGGTTCCAATCCATGCCGTGGGTTCCAAGCCAGTTGACAGCTTTGAACGTTGAGACTCGTTCCAAGCCGTTGCGACTGGCACGGGCGCCCCGAAGAAAAGAAAAAGTCCACGCCCGGAGCCGGTTCTTCCGTCGTGGAACCTGAACTTCAGTTCAGGTTCAGGGATCTGCTGAACCTGAACCTGAACTTCGCGTTCAGTTCAGTTCGGTTCGAGTTCGAACCGAAAACTCGAACCGAACTTTCCCACCACTACGTCCGACCGTCCCGTTATCGCCAGCCGCCTTGCCTTATTCCAACAGAATCGCGTCGCCGTGTTCACTGTTCACTGCATTCGCTTAATAATGTGCTGCATCACATAAGGAATCAACAGCGAAGAGTTGGCGAAGAGCGCACATTTTTGCGGGAAACTCAAAAGCCGTCCGAACCCGTCTCAAGCCTCCAAGTTGCTTGGGGCCCTTGCAACGACTGGGGACCAGTTCCAAGCCACCCCGCCAGCGGCTTGGAACCGGTTGAAACCGCATTCAAGCCACCATGCCGACTAAATCCGTTCCAACCGAACCAGGGTTTTTCCGACGAATCTGAAAATCCGGACTCGGAAAGCCACTTTTCGGACGAGAAAATCGTCCAATTTTGCCCTAGAAAAGCCACTTTTCGGGACCAACCTTTGCAGGAGCTTGAAGGCTTCCCGGGCCCTCTCTTTCGGCTGTCATATCCCCAAGTATCCGGTCGCAAGGATTGAGAAAGTCAGGAGGAGAGGCATATGTAGTAGCTATCTATATGGGTGTGGTGCGCTGATACATAACCTACATAACGTACCGTACAATAAACCCCGATTCAATTGTGGTTTCTGTAATCCTTTACTTATCTTGCACTAGGTTGGACCGGATAGTGAGAACAGCCAGCCGATGAGCTAGGCAGCCTTGGTACCACTTGTCTGATCTGTCTTCACGGGTCGATGGTGTAGTTGGTTATCACGCTCGCTTAGCACTCAACGAAGGCGTGCGAGAGGTGTTGGGTTCAATTCCCAATCGATCCACTTCTTTTTACATGGCCTCCACGCGTCGCAACCCCGCGAAAACGCAGATCTTCAGCCCCGCATCACCCGGGCCGCCCGGCAGGCAATAACTTTTTATCCCATCCCTCATTTCCCCCATAAAGTACCGGCAAAGAATGCACACTTTTCTGCCCACCCCTCACAATTTATCCATCATTTTAGGACGGCATCGGAGGCAGGGGGGACGTTCAACATTGCGGTGATGGTTGTTCAATCAGCGATCAAATTGATCTGTTTGATGATGGTCGTCCGGACCTGCGAGAGGTGTGGGGTTTAATTTCCAATGGACCCACTTTTGCAGCTTTTTTTCTCCGCCGCTCTCTCCCTTTCCGCAACCCTTACCCCACATATGTGACATATCACGAATCAGACTGATTCAGACAATGTTTGTTCTAACTTCTCTCCTTTGTCTGCTGATCTCTGCCCGAAAATAATCGTAGCCAAAGTTGTGTAGACAGTGTAGAATCTTGACTTGATCTAGACACGGAGATAACTAGAGACACAGTGAAAAGAACGGACCAACAAACTAGGGGGAACTGAAAGAAGGACCATATAGTTGTAAGCCTTATGATTTTCCACTGAAGTGGCAAACCTATTCGGTCTCATGCGATGATCGGGTTAAATCCGATGTGGGCCCGTCAAGTTTCAACCTTACCCCAATGGGATTCTTTCCGCAATCCGTCGGCAAAGCCTGCGCAGTAACCAGGAGAACAGTCGAGCACATATGTTCTCCGAGCGGTTCCCAAAATCGATAAAATGCTATAGAGAAGCCGTGTATCTTGGCGGCGGGTCCCTGGACGACCGAGCCCTGCTATTTGCATCCACTGCGTTCCCCCCGCGCCCCTGCCGACGCAATGAGCGCATCTCCCTCAGAATGCTCGACAGTATCGAAACTGATCCATCTGGCGGCATGGGGCCCTTCTCTGACGCGATCAGCAGGTTTGGACTCGGGCGCGTGAGATCTTCCAGCGCTCGCTGACGGCGCAGGCGACGGCCTCGGAACAGCAGCGCTCCAATGAGAAGGATGAGGAGGAGGAGTGCGCCGATCGTGATGCCGGCGATTGCACCCTGCGAAAGAGATGATTTTGACTTCCCGACAATGGGTGTTTCTGACGAGCTGATTGCGGAAGTCTGGATGATCGACGATAAGAAGGCAGCGAGACATCAGTAATAAACATACAGTCGGCGATGCAGTTGCGGAGGATAGCGTGCTTCCTTGCGGTACTGCGCTTCCCTGTGCTTTAGCTTGAAACTGAGTGAAACCCGCCGGGTGCCCGTTAATCACGCCAACCATATCTGTGCGACTTAGTATATTCAGTGTGCACTGGCGTCTCTGCAAACATGTACCGACCAGCTCTGCAATGCGATGACGGCAACTGTTGTTTGCAATAAAACCACGTTGCTTTGAGGCGAATCAGTGAGCATAGGGAGATCCGAGAATTGGGTGGACACTCACGAGCCTGATCATTTGTCACCGTGTAGTTAAACGTAGGAAATAGCCCCTGCTTCGTCTTACTCCCAATAACGAAGCCGGAGTCGAAGCCGTTTTGTAGGGGTTGGCAAGGCGCCACCAGTGTCGATTGGGTCACGCTGTGGTTCCCTGGACTGCAACAAATGGTGTTTGAACCCGCCAGAGAGACGAAACAGGGTGACACACATTCCCGAAAAGCGGAAGGACACAACAGTGCCATTCGATGCAGTAATGAAGTTAGGAACGAAAGCGCCGCCAGGGCTCCTGTTATCAACTGCGATGTCGACTGTCACAACGCTCTGTGTCTGTTGAATCAATAAAGACGGAGACTAGGCAGGTCAAGAGGCCTACAGGACTCATTCTCGACAGAAGTCAGGGACGGAAGGGAAAGAAGAATGTGGGGCTAAATGAACAGGGCCGAAGCCAGTTAGGGCATTGTCCACTTCGCCGTGGCCTCCAGCAAAGTGACGTGAGGTCCACAGCACGCCAACCTTCTCCGGTAAAGTGCCGATATAAACATCGCCGAGCTGTGATAGAGTACTCGGATCCGAGCAAGGAACTCGAAACAAGATTCGTAACAACTCCAACTTTTGATGTACGAGCATTTGTGTTGGCAGCGATTCCGTTTTTAGTTGGGTGACCCTCTGCCTTGATGGAAGCTATCCGATCCACAGCACTGGTTTACCTGGCGTAAGGCAGGTACAGAACCTGTACGGCAGGTCAAATCAGGCAGAGGCAACCCGCCCTGGAGACGACAATTGCCGAGTTTGACTCCCATTCCTATTGGAGTGCAGCGCCCTATCCGGTCCCGAACGCTGGTCTTGGTAATCGTCTGAGCCGACCCAAAATATATAGCTTGATTCGGGGCTTTCAGCCGGGAGAGGGCGGAGGATTTCGACAATTTCGTGGCTCGCCGCGGTGACCGGAAGATTACCTGCCCCGTTTCATCACAGCGCGTCGGCCTTATCCGAGTTTCGTTCATTTTCTTCGCGGAGAACATCCACGCAACATGTGGCGTTGACTGCACGGAGTCTGTGCGCAAGGTTCCTGTAGCAATAGCGGGAGTGAATCTGCGAGGTTGTGAGTGGTTGGCATCACTTTGATATCAGAGCTCCGTTGCCAGCTGTCTTTGGACTGGAAAAGGATTCCAAAGCTTATCGAGAAGCGTGAAAAATAAGCACAGCGGCTAACATATACACCGTGGATATTGCATGCCTTTCTCTATCTGTACGCAGTTTAAACTCCGAAGCATTTAGGCGGCAAAGGTTGGGACATACATTACCCGCTCCCGACCTCCCTCTTTCTTCTATCTACCAACCCAGGGATCAACCGCTGAACCCTCATCCACTGCTTATAATGGACGTCGCCGACATTCCACCCTCTGTCAGCCGTAATCTGTGTCAGGCTGCAGAATATGGATGATAGGAAAGCAGCGGACGTCGTGGCGCCGACAGTGGAAATCGGCGAGGTCCCGACGTCCAGAAACTTGAGTTTATCTTGCGGCTGCCTTAGTCCTGCTGCAAACGCAACGCGTGGCACTTCCGAAGCGTCCACCGTGATGCTAAGCAACCACAGTTGCGGGCAGTGTCGGGCGAAGGACGCGAGGGAGAGGAGCGTGCATCGCGGCTCGTGCGTGACACGGGAACGAAGCGCGAGCTCTTCAATGGCAGGCCAGGCGCGCGCTATCATGGCAACGGTCGCGTCCTCGATATCGTACCCCGTGGGGACTTGGATCTCCACGATTGTAAGTCGCCTAAAGCACAAGAGAGCGGAGAAAAGGCTGCCTGGATGGGCGGGGAGGGCGGGAGGGTCCAACTCCATAAACTCGAGCTGCAGCATTGTCAAGTGGTCGTGCGAGCAGTTGTTCGCGAGAGACTTGTACAGCGCGTCGATATCGTCCAGGCTCCGGCACTCGAAGATGTCCGCCTCGAATGTCGTCAGCTGGGGTCTCGCCCACGTGCGCATCAGAGCTAGCAACGGGAGAATTTCACCCCCTTGGTCTTGCTCGGGGTGGGAACTGAAGGCACGGAGTTGCAAGAACATGCTGCCGTCAGGAACACCCGGAAACGAGAGCGAACTCGGGAGGATTGCGCATAGCGTTTGAAGAGTTGGGAGAGCACCAAGATGTATCAAGGACTCGGAGTCGAGGGTACGCACATCGAGAAACTCCAGGTGTTTCAGTGCACGGACACAGTTGTACAACTGGTTGCGCTCTGCAAGTTCTGAGTCACCGTTCACGGCTTCGGTCTCCAGCGAGTCGATCTCTGGATGTGTGTGCGCCAGCGTGGCCAGTGCAGGGCAGCGGCCGTCATCAAGGCGACCAATAGAGATCGAGCTAATCCGCGGTCCAAGAAAGAGGTTCATAAAGACTGAATAGGCAGGGTCGTAGTGCTGCCATGAAAGACGTTCGAGATTCGGCAGTAGATAGCCACCAGGAACGCCGCGACCGAGCATGCCGTAGACAGTAGACAGGAAACGGAGGTCGGGTGTATCATCGCATAGGAGCTCCTTAACACGAGGCGCGTATTTCGACACCCTTTGCCAGTCCGACGGCACGAGTTCCCGGGGCACGCTCTGGCCTCGCTCAGCTTCTAGTCAAATGAAGAGAGTGGGATTCCTCACCCACGACCCGTCCGGCATTTCAGCTCTACTCCCCCAGAGATCGGCGGGAAAGCATCGAATTAGATTCATAATGGAACCCTGCTTCTTCCATAACACATCCAGCGCAGGCTCACTGAAGATGACGTTCGTCCGCGAAAGAGCAGCCAGGTCTCCGGTCTCGCAATCCACATTCAAGGCAGAAACAATGAGATCTACAATCTCTGGGATTCCCAATCCAGCGTGCATTCGTTGCGGGACGACAGACGAGTGGGCGGTGCGGTGCAAAAACCGATGGTGATGGTAAAGCGCAAGAGAGAAGGCTGTGCGATGGCATCATTGTAACAATGGATCATCAGCGGAGTCTGAAGAGCGAGCGGAGTTTGAAATTGACGTTTTGAGCTCTGAAGTCCACGTTGTGGCGAGGAGCTAGCAAGGCAGGTACTTCGTGGAAGTTGATAAATGATACGCGGAATCTGTTTAGACGGCGAGGTGACTTTGTCCATCGTGCGTTGTTAGCGACGGTCAAACTGTTCAACTGCCACATAGACAGTACGAGTCATACGACGCAGAAGACTCGAGGGTGAGACTAAGAGGTCGTATTGCAATGATATTCGCGGCACAGTTTCGACAACTAAAATACCCGGAAAGACTCAATTCCGGGCCTAATCCACGGCCTAATTCAAGTTGTGAACCTGCTAACCTGTGCTGCGTGGAATGTGAACGGATGTTACTATGAGTTCAACTGCTACTTTCTCAGACCATTTAGCAGACATGGATTCATGCTGACAACCAAACAGTAGCCTCTACCCTTTCATTCTCCGCCACCGGAAAAACTTCTCCGTGTGAATGTGAACGGATGTTACTATGAGTTCAACTGCTACTTTCTCAGACCATTTAGCAGACATGGATT